CGTTTTTCTTAAGAAAAAGATTTATTATTTGAAGCAGAAATACTACTTTTATGATATACAGTATATATATATATATATATATATATATATATATATATATATATATATATATATATATATATATATATATATATATATATATATATGTATGTATATTATTGTCACCATTTCATCAGGTGGTACATTTACAGAGCCAGTTTACATAATTCAAACTAATGGCATTAAGGGAAAACTAAATAAGTCATTGTACTTATTACACAGGCCTCATGTAAGATACACACTGGTAACATGGGGTAACTTTAGACTCTTGTTAACCAAAGAAAAGAATGGAAGGAAAACTGTATAGGTTTAACTCAACTAATGTTTGGTGCCTACATATTGTGCTTTTTACTTAGTTATGATAGATATTTGCAAAGCTTGTATTTTTTTTGTAAGAAATGATATTCATATACAAACTTGTGATTTACAGGAATTTAATTAACTGGTGGAAACTTTCTGTACACTTCCCAGCATTTGAAGTATCTGTGATGATAATTGGAAATTTGCTATGAGTGAGATTTTGAACAAGAAAATGGTATATTAACAGCTTTTAAATGAAAACCTTACTTAGGTCACAACTTACCTTAGTCTAGAGTGACATATATGGCTTGAAAAGTGTTTAGTCACATATATACCCCATTTGTTGAATTTTTGTGAAGAAAAGGCTTTATTTTTGCCACTATTATTGTCAATAATGTTATCATAATAATAATAATGTTAATGATAATAGTAATAACAACAACAACAATAACTTTCTTTCCCAAAAAAATCACAATAGGATGAGCAGGTGAGTTTAGGTAGTTCTGGTAATGGACTCCTTGGTGACTAAGCAATTGTAAAGCCATTTATGTGAACAAAAGGGCAGTGGACAGGGTATATACCCGATGCTAAAGAATTGATATTATGAGTTCACAAGGTAGGGCAGTAGAAATAATATGAAGCTTTACAGTTTTACAAGTATTTTTTATTTTCTTAGTTGGACATAAGTTAGCAGAAAGCATAAATGGTTACTCTACTACTATGTGGTATTTCATTTCCCACACTGAGTGCCTAAGGCCTGATTTAGTGTTCATTGAGGAAAGATTTCAGACTTGCATGTGACTTTGGCCTCATGTATGACTCATGATCTGTAACCTGAACTCCAACCAATAGGTTTGTTCTTTCTTTGTTATTAGTGACTGTCTTTATATGGCAAAACTTGAAGTCCAGATTTATCAGGAGTGTTGCTCTGTATCATTTATCCTATTTTGTGGAGATTAAAAACAATGCACTTGGTTTTCTAGGATACTTTTGCCTGATATATATTCAAATACCCTTTTAGAACATGAAAATACTATATAACATGTGCTCTAAAGGATTTTAGGTACACTTTTTGAGAAGTATACTGTGCTTCTCTTGTTTTTATTTGTAAATGAATCTTTTTTTTTCACAAGTTGCGTTAATCTTGCAAAAAGTTCAGTTTTTGTGATAGCTTTTGCTATAATAAAAATCTAAAAGTTATTTCATGCAAATACTTTGTCCTGTTGGTATATTTTGTTAACTCTAAAATAGTGATTAATAACTTCAAAGAGACTTACATATTTTCATCAAAAGAAACAAAACTACAGAGTTGTTCTTAAAGTATTTTTTTTTTTCTCTCTATTATTTATTTTTTTTTTTTCTTACTATTTTATTTTTCCCCATTTAAGGTCTAGATCATTCAGGGATATAATCAAAGTATATGACAAATCCCACTGTTTATTTTCCACAACCTATGGAAAACAGTGATCTTTCTTATGCCATCCAGTTCATAGGGTTGATTGTAGACATGTTTTTTTTTTCATCTTATCAAAGAGTATGAGGGGGATAAAAAGAAAATTAAATAGGTATTACAATATCTTGTTGGAATAAAAATATATAGGCTTTACCTCCTATCTTCAGGTTCAATCAAAAGCATAGAAAATATAAATAACTCCCAGTTGTGAATAAAATAATGAGCATTATTACCTCAGGTGGTGTAAAACATCACAAGACTTTTTACCGCATTATGTCTTTAACAGTGCATGTATGTCAATTCCATTCACTGAAAAAAATAATTGAACATTTTGCTTTTTGTGTTCATAGGTTCAGATCATGTGAATATATGAAAAGTTCAAATTACTGGTGACACATTCAAACTACATACTATATGTACACACTTTCCAAGGTACTACATGGTAGCACCTAACTCCTCAGGATAATGTAATTGAAAAAAGGAAAATAACTTGAAATGAAAAGACAAAAATAGAATTCATTGATGTACTGTGTGAAAATGATATATTTGTGTTCTACAAATGGTAATCATTCTTCTTCATTGTAAGAGATATCATCAGTAAATGAAGGTTGATCCAACAGTATACCATTTTTTTTGGCAATAAATGCACCTCCAGGGCTCTTTAAACAACACAAAGATGTCACAAAAGGAGATCTGAACAATATGGCATCAGTTATTACAGAAAGCATAATATTAGAAGTGTGATATGACTATTGCTGTATGATAAAGAATATTGCCCAAGCTGTGGCTAAAGATATTTGGTCACTGGACTTTGAACTGATGTAAATATTGTTGTACTGCCTATTCCTTGAAAAAAATATATATATCATGAGTAGTAAAGACTATTAAGAGAGGCAGAGAACCTTCTTTCGGCTTGAAATCTGTACTTAATGCAGTGTAAACAACTTTGTGCTGCCAGATTTTATAAATAAATGGATTTATGTATGTGGTGGATATCTCATTTGTCCTTCTTGTAAGTTTTTAATGTGGAAAAGACATTGAATGATATAAATGTGTACTTCTGCACATTGTTTGCTAGACTATCAGAAATGCAGGTTCTAATGTCATCATTTATTGCTGGCAAGAAGCATGTAATGGGTTATTAACACTTCCCAACAAATGATCCAGATCTTATACACTCCAAGCAATGAGACTTTCACTTAATATTGGTCACAGTGATAAGGCAGATGTAACTCAGATGAAGGGCATGAAAAAAGGAGTGAATTTTTAAGAAGTAATCACTTGTTTAAGTTGTGAAAGGAAGCAAAGAACAAAAGGGATGCATCTTAATCTTGCATCGGCATAAGCTTGTTTGGCTGAATAGTGTGTGTGTGTGTGTGTGTGTGTGTGTGTGTGTGTGTGTGTGTGTGTGTGTGTGTGTGTGTGTGTGTGTGTTGAAGGAATGTGACTTAGAAATTTATAAGATACATACCAGCTGTATATAGTGAGCCAGAATTCTGTATAATGAGTAGCTACCTTTACAACACAAAAATGGACATACAGCATATAAAAAAAAGCTTGCTCTCATGTCCAGTGCGAGTCAGTGCCTTATGCAGATGGGAAAAAGAGGGTTATGTAGCAAGTATCTAGGATATGTGTACATTGCAATCCCTTCCAAGAGTCTAATTCACTCCAGGTTAAGAGGGTTTCTAAAAAAAAAAGGCATACTAATATACCAATCACAAACATAGTAGTATGCGTGTGTACAAGAGTGAAATCTAATGCAGGTATTATGAAAAAGGAATCATGAAGTTTAAACTGATTTCGTTTTAGGCATGGCTCTTGATTAGATGATGAAACTGAAATGGACCCGTTTTCGTTTCGATCGTCTTATGAGAATACTACCTCCTCTAATTCCCTGCTCGTTGTTGCCGTGGGGGGGAGAGGGGGGCTTAGGAGGGGACTGAGACCCAATGTAAATCACCTCTTTGGACCTCCTCAACTAGTTTTTAGTGGTCTGCTATTTTCCACCTTTCCCTTTCCTTCTCTTCTTCATCCCCTTCTTCGTTAAGAAGGGGATGAATACCTTACCATAGTGTCTAGCACATTTATTGTTTTAACATTATCCATTAGGTTCTTCCCGTATTTCAGTCTGATCATCCTGTGAGAATATTAATCTTGAGAGGAAACGTCATAGTATATACTTCCATTTTTTGGTGCGGTTATGTTTCTTATCATATTGATTTAAAGTTTGCATTATTCGATGACCAAATTCAAGTAGTGTTCGTGGTTCTTGTTTTTATCTAGTTTTAGAGGTGATTTTCATAATAAAAGTTCTGTTGATGGATGGTCTTTAATTCGTACAAAGAAATGCTGCCCATTATTTTCAAGAAGACAGACAATGGGGTATGTTATTCCTAAATGATACTGAGGATCTGGCAACTTTAGGCACCCATTGTAGATGTAACATGAATGGTGACTAATACTGGCACTTCCTGATATAGTAGAGGTTCCATTCTTTTCTGTTTTGTTTTTGCAATAATTGATGCAAGCATTCAGTGGAATATTTTGTGTTTTGAATATTCCTTCACCAACGCATTTTAAGTAATGAAAATATCGAAAGGCCATCTGGTTTATGTGGCTCATCACCCAGAAAAATGCTTATTCATCACTTATGATTTAACTGATGTAGAGAAAGAAAGAGAGGGAGAGGGACAAAAAATATAGAGAATATGATCTCCATTTGAATTTTTCCAACTTTTAGAAATATCATTTGTTAAAACATACAAAGGACTAAATAAAATATCTTGTACACATGGTATTATTTACTTGTAAGAATATAAGTCAATAACACACTCAAAATCATCACTAAACTGATGTAGATATTGTAAACCTTGACAAGACATTCACAAGATTATAAAAAAATGATGCACATATAGAATATACAAAATACAAAAAAACGACAAAATGAAATCCTTGCATATCTGTGAATAACTGATATATCACATTTGAACATTAGAATTCTTTCATATTCAGAGCATTTTAAATAGACTTGGGTTTAATTTTATGACCAATGCTCTGGGCAACTAACAGACATTCTTACATACATTACAAAGTGAACAGAAAAGAAAAAAAAAAAGTTGTACTTTCACACTCAGAAAAAAAACTGCTATACTTACAGACACGCCAAAAAGGACACAAAATATGGAATAGGCATTTACTAAAAGTTGAGGTCTTACGAAGAAAAAAGATATATATATACCCACAGCTTCAAAAAATTACCTTTGACCCCCTTATATTTTAAAGGGGGAGAGGGCTATTTACACCCACACTTTAGTCTCGTCTTTTTTTTAAATCTATATTTGTTTTATTTTCTTTCTTGTTTAGGACTCAACATTTAATTTATACAAATAACATGGTATCAGTACCAGAAATATATATATTTATATATATATGTCTATTCCCTGAAGGAGAACTAATGAATGCCATCAGCTTTCGTCCACAGGCACCGGTTCCACCTCTCCGTCGTTGATTCGTCGAGATATACTGATCTCGGTCCTCGTTTCGAAACGGATTTTGGGAGTCGTCGGCGTGGGTCTCAGGGTCGTGGTGGCGGCCGTGGTGGTGGTGGTCGTGGTGGTAGTCGTGGGCCTATTGGTACGGGTGGTAGGGCTTGGGGTGGTAGGGGCAGGGGTGAAGCGGGTACGGAAGGGTCGTGGGGTCGTTCTGGGTGACGGACTCGAAGCCAAGTCGGTCGTGAAGCCGAAGAATTCCTCGATTGGGTCGTCGGGGCTGGGTGAGCTTTCCTGTGGGGGGAGAGGGGGAGGAGGTGAGTGGGGGGGGGTGGAGGTTGGAAGTGCGTGGACTGCTTATTACTATAACTTTAACAATACTACTAAGGATAGTGATAATACTGATGATACAAATAATAATGTTAAAAATTATATTGATGATGAAGACGAAGATGATGAAGATGAAGATGGAGATGGAGATGAAGATGAAGATGAAGAGGAAGAGGAAGAAGAAGAAGATAGAGATGAAGACGAAGACGAAGACGAAGACGAAGACGAAGATGAAGACGACGATGATGATGATGATGACGATGATGGCGATAACGATAACGATGGCGATGATGATCATGATGATAATGATAATAATAACAACAGAAACTCACCTCGGTCGGTTCCTCCAAGATCAGATCCGGGAACTTGTTGATCGATCTCACAACGTCTTGGTCAGTGATACCAATAACGCCGTCGATAAGGTACACGATACCAAGGTTGTAGATGAAGACTTGAGACTCAATTACCGTTGCGTTGTCGATTTGTATGGTTCCGTCTGTGTGGGAGAGAGTTATAGAGGGTTATTAATGTGATTGTGGGTGTGTGTGTAGGTCTATGTATGGTATATCGGTACGGTTGTAGGGTAGTATATATCTAATTCTGATGTGATATATATTTACGTAATTATGTGTGTGTGTTTTTATTTTTATGATAATAATTGTATGAATATATTTTTTATGACAATAATTGTATGTGTATAGTTTTATCTTTATGATAATAGTTGTACCGGTATGTGTTTTTTTTTTCTTTTTTTTCTTTTTTTCATGAGTATGGTTCCATCGTTTGTTATTAACAAAAAAAATCCCATTCCCAATTTCCCAAAACTAAATAAAACCAATTTTATTCCACGTACCAGGGTTCCTCGAGACGGTGAACGTGTAGTTGGCCAAGTTGGAGAGAGTGAGGCCATCTTGGAGGTCGTCCTCGTAAAATCGTCCTTGAACCAGGTGGTTGAGGATGAGGTTGTCCCTGAGTACCCCGTCGAGCTGGAAGGGGTCGGGGGCATCGGCGTAGAGCATACCAGCGAGCGCATTGTTGCTGGGCACGAAGGCTGTGTACTTGAGGGGATCCAGGTTGTCTGAAGGGGAGAAGGGAGGTAAGGAGTCAGTGTATATATATATGATTGTTTTTCTTTTTGAGGTGGGGGTCTTTATCTTGTGGTTGTTTGGGTCAGGTGAATATGCAGATTAAGTTAGAATTACGGAAATAAATTCAAAGTACTACTACTACTACTAATAATAATAATACCAATATAATTACTATTACTACTAATACTACTATTACTACTGCTGAATGATGATAATAATAATGAGTATGATGATAATAATTGTAAACTAATAATAGCAATGATAATAATAATAACAATAATAATAATAATAATAGTAATAATAATAATAGTAATGATCATGATGATAACGATAATAATAATAATAGCAATAATAATAATAATAATAATAATAATAATAATAATAATAATAATACCAACAACATTTCTACTATTACTACTACTACAACAACAACTTCCAACAATAACACTAACAAACACAAACAAAACACAACGAAAGCAAAGCACAGAGCTCTCTTTCTCTCCCTCACCATCGCTGCCGGGAAGAAGGTAAGCCAAATTGGTGTAGTTCAGATATTCGGCGAAGAACGTGGTACGGGGGTCCTGTTCGACTCTCTCCAGGAGGTGTGAGAGGAACTGGGAGGTGGGCCAAGGACTTCCTAACAACGGGGCGGTCTCGAGGTCTCCGTGCTGAGCGAGAAGTTCCTCGACCTGTGGAAGAGCAAAAGAGGGATATATTTTTTTTTTTTTTTTTTTTTTTTTTTTTTTTTTTTTTTTAATAGGGGAGGTTTCTTTAAGGGGATTTTTATTTTATTTTGTTTGTTTTTTGTGTTTTTTATGGGAGGAGGGGGTGGAAGGGGTGGTGGGTAGGGGGTGGGAGTGGATTCTATGTGGGATTGCTTTTGTATGAGATTAAAGGGGTTTTTGTGGGATGACTTCTAGCTATGGAGGATGTTTAAGGGATATTTTTTTTTTTTTTTTTATGGGTGGTGGTTTTGTGTTTGTGTGTGTGTGTGTGTGTGTGTGTGTGTGTGTGTGTGTGTGTTACATGGTGTGGTTCGGTTTTAAAATGTATTCTACAGTTGGGATCAGAAAAGATATATCCTGCCTGAGTGCAATTATTCATGATTTGAAAAGATTCAATCAAGTTCTGAATTTCCTCTAACGAAAAAGAGCAAAACATCATTAAGAAAAAAAGAAAGTTATTACGAAATTAAGAAATAATATTTCCACCCCTATCTTATTCACCAAATTATTAATCTACTTCATATTCATCCTTTACTCACCCTCTCATAGTCGACAAAGAGGAGTTCCTGAATGCTGTATGAACGTCCTCGGGGATACACAGACTCACTCTCCAGCACAACTTCGACTCCATTGGCTAAAAGCTTATCTGTAGAAGAGAAAAAATACTTGAGTTAGTGCTCCATTGCATTAAAGAAAACGTACGGTAGAAATTTTCTTTTTATCCTTATTATTAGCTTTGTTTGTCTATTTTTTTTATTATTTTTTTTCTTAGTTTATAGATATTCTTTTAGTGATGTTGTGTAATGGTTTGATGTAAAATTGGCCAGAAGCTTATCTATGGGAAAAATACTTGAGTTAGTGCTTTATTGTGTGAAAGAAAACGTACTGCGGTTATGAATTATTTCTTTTTATTACTATTACTATCTTTATTTTTTTTTTCAGATATGGATTTAATAATGTTATGGAATGCTTTGATGTATGAATAGAGATTGTAGCACAGAGTATAAAAATAAAATTATTACACTCAAATTTTATATACGATTTCTAATATATGTCAAAATCAAAAACAGTTACCTCCTTTAATAATTACAATAAGAAATATATAATAATACCTCATAATTCAGTTATGTATTTCCTTCCCCACACAATGTAATATCTTTTTTTTTCTTTACCCCCTTTTTTCCACCTTTTCCCCTTCAGTTAAATGCCATAACATATATATTACATGGCTTAACCTTCCTGAAAACAGTGTTGTGAAAATACCACGCCTCAGCACGTCGGTAATGAGGTTACTTAAGACTTTGATAAAGCATGGGAGAGAAAAATCAACGTATTTTAAAAAGAAAAAAAAAAACTATTACCCTATTGACATGTATATTTTAAAAAGGGAAAAATAAAGAAAATTCAAGAGAAATGAGAAATAAATATTGAATGAATTTAAAGAAACTTATTGCCTCATCAAATCTATTGACACCTATGGCAAAAAATAAAAAATAAACAAATAAATGAAAATAAAAGATAAACAGTAAAATTCCTGATTGAAATTATCTTAAAACAGACTAATTTAAAGAGAGAAAAAAACACAACAGAACAAGGATATAATATTAAAAAAAAACATTTACACATAAACCAAAAAGATCTTTAGAATTTGTGAAAACAAAAAAAAAAAAAAATCATCACCTCATCAAATTCCCTAACAAAATTAATCAAACCAAGAAGAAAAAACAAAAACAAACAAAACAAAAACCTATTTAGACAGACACAAACAACGTAGTTCACGAATTTCCAGTAATAACGAAAACAGGGTGATTGACTTTATCTCGTGGCCGCTGACAAGTCGCAGACATGACATTTAAGTAGAGGGAGGGAGAGATGAGGGAAGAGGGGAGGAGGAAGGAGAGAGGGAGGAGGAGGGGGGAGGTGAGGAGGAAGGAGGGAGGAGGAGAAGAGGAGGAAGGGAAGAGGGAGGGGAAAAGGAGAGGGAAAGGGAGAAGGATGGAAGAGGGTAGGAAGGGAGGTGAGAAGGGGAGAGGAGGGAAAAAGGGAAGTGAGAAGAAGGAGAGAAAATGGGAGAGGGAGGTAAGATGAAGGGGGAAGAGATGGAAAGGTGAAGAGAGGGCAAGGAAGAAGAAGAGAAGAAGAGGGAAGTGGGAGGAGAAGAAAAGAAAAGAAATGGAGGGAGGAGAGGACAGGAGAAAATAGAAAAGATGAAGGGGAGAAAGGAGAAGAAAGAGAAGAGAAGGCGGAAGGAGGAAGAGAGAAGAAGGAGACAAAAAAACGAAGGAAGAATGGATAGAAGGGGGGGGGGGAGGTTGTTGAACTGGACTTTGATATCACCAAATAAAAAAAAAAATGTCTTTAAGCTTTAATTAAGTGTACAGGCATATCTCTGCGCACGTGATCATGTAAGAGGAAATATAATGAAGACTGATAGAGTATAAGATAAGAGCTTAATAGCGTTTAGCTCGATTTAAAGAGATGGTGATGATAACAATGATAATTATGGCGGCTGTGGTGGTGGTCACTAAGATAATGAAAAATAATGATGGCGTTTTAAATATTGACAGAAATGACGAGTTATGACGATGGTAATGATAGTAACAATAATATTAACAATAACAGCTTCAACAACAATATCAATAACAGCAAACAAAAACAAAACAAAACATAAACACCAACACACTCTTAACACACACAAACCATAAACTTACACACCAACACACTCTTAACACACACAAACCATAAACTTACACACCAACACACTCTTAACACACACAAACCATAAACTTACACACCAACACACTCTTAACACACACAAACCATAAACTTACACACCAACACACTCTTAAACACACACAAACCACAAACTTACACACCAACACACTCTTAAACACACACAAACCACAAACTTACACACCAACACACTCTTAAACACACACAAACCATAAACTTACACACCAACACACTCTTAACACACACAAACCATAAACTTACACACCAACACACTCTTAAACACACACAAACCATAAACTTACACACCAACACACTCTTAACACACACAAACCATAAACTTACACACCAACACACTCTTAAACACACACAAACCACAAACTTACACACCAACACACTCTTAACACACACAAACCATAAACTTACACACCAACACACTCTTAAACACACACAAACCATAAACTTACACACCAACACACTCTTAACACACACAAACCATAAACTTACACACCAACACACTCTTAAACACACACAAACCATAAACTTACACACCAACACACTCTTAAACACACACACAAACCACAAACTTACACACCAACACACTCTTAAACACACACAAACCATAAACTTACACACCAACACACTCTTAAACACACACAAACCATAAACTTACACACCAACACACTCTTAAACACACACAAACCATAAACTTACACACCAACACACTCTTAAACACACACAAACCACAAACTTACACACCAACACACTCTTAACACACACAAACCACAAACTTACACACCAACACACTCTTAACACACACAAACCATAAACTTACACACCAACACACTCTTAACACACACAAACCATAAACTTACACACCAACACACTCTTAAACACACACAAACCATAAACTTACACACCAACACACTCTTAACACACACAAACCATAAACTTACACACCAACACACTCTTAACACACACAAACCATAAACTTACACACCAACACACTCTTAAACACACACAAACCATAAACTTACACACCAACACACTCTTAACACACACAAACCACAAACTTACACACCAACACACTCTTAACACACACAAACCACAAACTTACACACCAACACACTCTTAACACACACAAACCATAAACTTACACACCAACACACTCTTAACACACACAAACCATAAACTTACACACCAACACACTCTTAACACACACAAACCATAAACTTACACACCAACACACTCTTAACACACACAAACCATAAACTTACACACCAACACACTCTTAACACACACAAACCATAAACTTACACACCAACACACTCTTAACACACACAAACCATAAACTTACACACCAACACACTCTTAACACACACAAACCATAAACTTACACACCAACACACTCTTAACACACACAAACCACAAACTTACACACCACACACTCTTAAACACACACAAACCATAAACTTACACACCAACACACTCTTAACACACACAAACCATAAACTTACACACCAACACACTCTTAAACACACACAAACCATAAACTTACACACCAACACACTCTTAACACACACAAACCATAAACTTACACACCAACACACTCTTAACACACACAAACCATAAACTTACACACCAACACACTCTTAACACACACAAACCATAAACTTACACACCAACACACTCTTAAACACACACAAACTACAAACTTACACACCACACACTCTTAAACACACACAAACCATAAACTTACACACCAACACACTCTTAACACACACAAACCATAAACTTACACACCAACACACTCTTAAACACACACAAACCACAAACTTACACACCAACACACTCTTAAACACACACAACCATAAACTTACACACCAACACACTCTTAAACACACACAACCATAAACTTACACACCAACACACTCTTAAACACACACAAACCATAAACTTACACACCAACACACTCTTAACACACACAAACCATAAACTTACACACCAACACACTCTTAAACACACACAACCACAAACATACACACCAACACACTCTTAAACACACACAAACCATAAACTTACACACCAACACACTCTTAAACACACACAAACCATAAACTTACACACCAACACACTCTTAAACACACACAAACCATAAACTTACACACCAACACACTCTTAAACACACACAAACCATAAACTTACACACCAACACACTCATAAACATAAACAAACCAAACTTACACACCAACACACTCTTAACCACACACAAACTACAAACTTACACACCAACACACTCTTAAACACACACAAACCATAAACTTACACACCAATACACTCTTAA